TTCAAAACACTTGAGAGAAATTCTGAATTATTTCTACTGTCCAATCTAATATTCTTTAATGGATCATTGTCTTTCAAAGAATTTGATGTCTCTGAGGTATTTCTATGGCTCTTGGATGGGGAAGACTTGTCTGGTGTTTTTAAAATTTTCTTCTGAGGACTCTCTGATTTACATTTTGGAGATGGTGTTGCACTTATTCTAATTGACCTGTTTGATTTCTCGGGTGTTTTATCAAATGCTGATGGGAAATCATTAAGTTCATCCTAAAAACAGACATTTATATATTTGCTGGATATATAAAATAATAGATACCTTTTATACACTATTTCATTAACTTAATATGTGCGAAAATTTGTAAACACACGTGGATGAAGATCACATATATATCATAAGTAGTTTATTGCCTCTTACCACATCCATGGAATCAAATACGTCATGACTCTGATGGTTAGGTGTCTCTAGTTGTATTACATTATCCAATTTGTTTGGAGGGACTGTCTGCCGTGTTAATATACTGGGAGATCCCTCTTTATAGTTTGGGGTATCCTGTGACATGAGAAATTTATGGACATTATGCGTAACTTACACATATCTCTATGATACCTAGCAGCTAGAAACTAGCATGATAGACGGCCCCACGTTTGAGATTTATTTTGTTAAGTTACTTAATATTAAGCAACTATAATAATAATACAACTTGTCTATGAAGTTGGTGCCAAAGCTTATGGGTGTAAACAAACAGATTTTGATTGACAAATTTGTAAATATGCATTCAATTATTTTTCATTGACATTCACATTTTATTTTGCCTTAATTATTATGTATCTTAACGACACACTGCGCCCCAAATAGTTTTGGTGCATAATCCTAAAGTAACCTCTTTCTAACGCGCAGGCGAATTCTAATCCACCATTTTCAAAAATTTTACCAAAATCTTTAGGGTTACCATGTGTCTCAAGAACTTGTGACGGGTTGAGTTAAAACTGCCACTGCAATGATATTATTATACCACATACAAAATAGATGTTACAATGTTAAGTTGCAGATAGTGTGTTGTATTTGGCAATGTAGCTCCTATGTTGCACAAAGCCTTGTATGAATGAATAAACAAATGAAATATTCTTTATTGCACATTAAAATTATAAAGACAACACAGAACAGTAGTGTAAGTATCACAGAGTAAGCCAATGTACAACGGGCGGCCTTATTGCTAAATAGCAATTTTTTCCAGGCAATCCAAGGATCGAAATTTAAGAGTTGGAAAGGGGGGTGCAACCAAAGAATATCTTGTAATGAAAGTGTTTTAAATAAATACACTACTCATCAATTAAGTAATATATAAACAATAATAATAACCACATATATAACAAGAATGTATACATAGACATTAATATATAATAATAAGGTCATATACTTTTGTACGGCCATAAAATAAATTATAAATAGTAATAAGAATAAATAAATTTATGAAGGAAGATATACCACTAAGCAAAAGGATATAAAATTAAGGGAATGGAGCAGAAAAATCAGAATTAGCAGTTATGGAAATTTTCCTTAACATTTTGAAGGAATCAAGAGTAGGGAATCGTCCAATTGATTCAGGGAGAGGACTCATACTTGTTGATAGCAGATACATACTTGTACTACTAATTGATTAAAAATACTGAAGTAAAATTACCCTTTGAATTTGAAGTGGTTTTTCATTTGACCCCTTGAAAGGTGGCGTCCCTGTAAGTTAGAAAGAGAATTTGTTAGCTTGAACAACTTAGTCACTTCATATTCTGCAATAGTATGAGTAGGCTATGGACTTAGTAAATCAATACTCTGTTCAGTGGCATACTTGAAACAAGGAAGCAATTTTTTTTTATAATATCAAGTGACGGGACGAACAAGTTGTGCACCTGATGGCAAGCAACGTGTATATCCATAACAGTTGCTGTGCCACTCAGAGCTTTAAATCACAAAAACTAAGGGGCACTACCACTGCGTCCCACACCCTGAGACATAAGTTGACAAGTCCCATATGCCTGTAATTTCACCAGCACTCTTACTCTTCAAACCGGAACACAGAAATGCTGACATTACTGTTTGGCGGCAGAAATAGGTAAGGTGGCAGTACTTCCCTGGACGAAGTTTTTCACAAGGAGCTCTACTGTTACTAATCTACAGATGATTGTGTAAACAATGTATTTTATTGTACTCACAGGTTTTGGAACTGTTAGACTTTGATTTCCATACAAATTTTGATTTCTTCTCCGATAGCTCTTCATCATTGGTTTCACTGTAAAAAACAAAGGGAACAATAAAAGCATAATGTATTATACAAAATTGTCGAGAGAAACAACTTATGTTTTTATGTATACCTGGGAGAAGAGGTTCTCAACGATGCCTTATTACTTTTCTTAACGAAGTTAAATAAAGAGGATTGCTTGGCAGTAGTACTGCCTTTTTTCGTAGCCATTTCAATGGGAATCTCCAAGAAATCCCAAAGTTTAATTAAAATTCATTAGTGTGCAAATTCCCGCTTCCAAATAATTTGTTTTGACTGTCAGTCAGTCAAAAATTCTAAAAACTTTTTATTAAAAAAATATTTTATATTTATTTACTGAGCTTAGGGTACAGGCAATCAGCTTAGCGTTTAAAGCAAAATTTTAAAGTTTTTGTACGTACATACGTCCAAAGAAAAAATAATAAAAATAAACCATTTTTCCTGGAAAAGTAAATACTTCTTAACTTGCCTTTTTATAAAGTATTTGCTTTGAAGTAATGCTAATATGGTGTTCGTCGGGCTATATTTAAGTAACGCTGTAGCCAAAGCACAATAAATGAAAAAGAAAAGCAATTTCGTTAAATTGACAGTGCCGCCGTCGCTGTCAATTTGACACTGCCATAGGGATGATGATGATGAGGGGATATAGGTGATTTTTAGCTTGGAATCGATTTTTCGGATCGCAATGCATCATATGCGGCAGATTCGATTTCATAAAAATCGTTTCAAAATTTGTAATAAATAAAACACCTTACTATAGTAATAATGTTTTAATTGCCTTAATAATTTTTTTTTTCCTTCACAAATACCAATCCTTTACATCTAATTAAACTTTTCAATAATAATATATAATTTAATGTTCAAAGCATTGTTCTCCTGTATATTTTCCGTTTCTGTGCTTGACGAAATCAAAGACTGGTGTCTCTTCATGTGATTAACAGTCCATATTGTCTTTTGTTTTTACGACACAATGAAATTTTTGCATTTTTCTCTATTACCAATCTTAATAAAATTGGACTACACACTGGATTTAATAGGCGGAGTCATCAGTAAAATCACAATTACACACAAGACCAATCAACGATATAACTCGTCCACAAAAGCTGTTAATGAATAAACGTTTTATTATTTGTTTAGTACCATAAACAATGCGGATAAGTTATACAGTGTCAACAGATTACGGCTTGTCTGTAATCAATCTTGCTCCTTTGATAAAAAAAAACAATTAACATCATCATTAATAACACGAGTTGTTAATATATAATAACGCTTTTGTTTAAATTATGAATTCGATTTAGTCAGCCTTTCCCAAAGTGGGCGATAAAGCGCCCTTGTGGGCGCTGCAGGCCTAAGGGGGATAAGAAACCCAGAAAAAGAAATGGGGGCGTTGTGTAGAGGCTTAGGGGGAGATTTGTAATTTCATCTAGGAGACTCTTAGACACCGAGTGAGCTCTCGACTACAGCTTGTGAACACCAACTAATATTAATTAAGAGATTGCTCAAACTAACTCGGTTCGATATTTCTCTCCGTGTAGTTCATATATCTGTCCTGTTTTATTGAATAAATAAAATAAAACTCATGTCAATCGGTCGCTCCGTTTCGAAATTAAAGTAGACATAAACAAACAAATAAAAAGACAACAGACACAGTTTCGCATTTTAATAGTTATTAGTATTCCTAGAGAGGTAATTTTCGTAGATGATAGACCGCCGGCAATCATGTTTTAAAAAGTTTTTGTTAAATAACCCGATTTGTACGTTCCTGTATCAATCGGCTGGTTCATACAATACTTGTTCGTACTTGTTGAGTACGATTGAGCGTCGAATGAGATTAACGAGTTTATGCATGTTTGTCTTATTCCTGTCGGTGCGTGCTGCTTATGCAATCCTATATAAACAACGTAATATTTATTTTAATTTTTTTCATTTCATTTTCATTTCAGCAGTACTTAAGTTTAATACTTATTTACGTATTTCTCAAAACAAAACAATATCGGAAGTAAAAAAGAAGAGACGGCAATACTGTGCGGAATATATTAAATTCGGATTCATTGAAAGTCCCACAAACCCATAGTCGCTTTCATTTTTTCGCATTCTATGTCTAAAAACATTTTCGAATGAAGCAATGAAGCCTTCAAGACTGCAAGATCATTTGAATAAAATGAATCCAGATAAGAATGACAAGAATGTAGCATATTTTTCAAGACCTAGAGAAGAAGCGTAATACTCACCCAAGTGTAGAAAAACTCTTTTCGGCGGTTGCTAAGCAAGATGATGATGGACTTCGAGTTTCGTACAATACCTCTTTGTTAATTGCTCAAAAAGGCAAACCGCACAACATCGGAGAAGAGTTAATTTTGCCAGTAATAAAGGAAGTAATAACTACTGTGCTTCATTAACCGGCCGCAGATATTGTCTGAAAAATTCCTTTGAGTAATAATTCTGTACAAAGACGGCTTGATGAAATGGCTGAAAACATTGAAGAATCATTGTGCCATCATCTGAGGACTAGTCAATTCTCAATTCAGCTCGATGAGTCCACTTTACCAACTAATGGAGCATTGTTGCTGTCTTACGTGAGGTTCATTAAAGTTTAAAAAATATGTGAAGAACTATTGTTTGCTAGAAATTTAGAGACCTATACCAAAGGCGAAACCATATTCAATACATTGGAAAAGTTTTGTGATGAAAAAGAGATTCCCTTGAAAAATATTATATCAGTACCAAGACATTTTGAACTTGGAAATACCAGACTGAGTGTTGGATCCGTTTTCAAATGTCAACACAACCGCAGCTGGAGAAGAGCTTATAGAATTGACAAAGAACGAGGAAATAAAAATCAAGTTCAAAAATGGCTACCAAGAATTTTGGCTACAAAAATCGATCCCGCAACTGTACCCTGAATTGTGGTCAATCATTCAACGATTCTTGATAGCATTCCCATCGTCATATTTGAGTGAACGTGGATTTAGTGCTGTGACAACGCTGCTTACTAAAAAGAGAAATCGTTTGCATGTTACCGAACGTGGTGACTTGCGGAAGTTCTTGAGTAAATTGGAACCTGATATCAACAAACTTATTAAACAGCATCAGATTCATCCTTCACATTAGTTTTTATATTAGAATCGATTATGTTTGTTTTATTTTGAATAAAAGATACTCTATCTGAATACTATAAAGTTGCGTTTCAATAATTATTCTCATTGGCAGGTGTAGTCCGTAAGAGTTAACTTGAGACCTGGGGGGCGACTCTCGGTCTCCGTCCGACATCCGTCCGAAACAGTAATTCAAATAAATAATATTCGACAAAATTAAAAGACAAGTATCCAGTATGAAGCTTCATTCGCATCATGCGTCTTTTCATTAGGTCAAGTATTGCTTATTTGGCAGTAATTGTTTCCGACGGATGGCGGACGGAGATCGAGAGTAGACCTGAGCGCTCTGGTCTCAAGTTAACTCTTGCGGGTTATAGTGAATGTCTCGTTTAGTCTCCGCATGTATAACTCACAATAATTAATTCAATTTGAAGTTATAGTGGTTTTTGAGTAGGTGAAAAAATGGGGGCGCTACAAAAGAATTTATTCTCAAAGTGGGCAGTAGATAAAATAAGTTTGGGAACCCCTGCTTTGGATGATTCGATTCGCCATAATTTTGAATCGATTCGTTCAAAAATCGCATTGAAATTAATTGATACAATAAATCGCCATATCGTATTCAATTGAATCGATTTTCCAAAAAATCGAATTATAATGTGCATCCCTATCATTGACATAAAGTTCCTTCTTGTTATTGGGAGTTTTCTCGGTGCTTGTGGTTTTTTTAACAAATTAACGGGAAAAAAGAATTCAAATACCTATTAGTAAAATGAAGGACGCTAGAATAGTTTTAGATAACGAGTATAACACGTATTACGCAGGACAAACGCTGAATGGGAGGATAGAATACGAGTTTGATAGTCCTATAAAAGTTCGAGGTAAGGATGTAATATTTATTTTAGATCTAGTGAGTCATACTTCCTAATTAAACTGAGTTATTCAAAGGATCCGCGTCTTCTTGATTGATAGCTTAGATAAACATCGTATAAATGCTAATTGTTCTGTTAGATTTACAGTTACTATAACAAAGTCTTTTGTACTGATATTTGTTCCCTTGTTTGCGTAATTTTATGGTAGTGTTAACAACTTTTCTGTTGTATTCTTTCCTACTGTGGGTATTTTGCTGTTTTTATGTCGTAGAAAATTATATCAAATTGCCACATAACTTTGTAATGAATGTCTCATCGCCATCATATCTGCCGGAAGACGTCCACTGCTGAACATAGGCCTCCCCCTCCTAATCCGCAAAACTTTTTTTCTAAACTTTTTTTATGTTGATATTTATTGAATATTGAGATGATATTCATATTATTTTTGCAAAATTACTGTACTATAGTCCATTTGTTTAGGTACCTACTTAACTAAATGTAAACAATCTTGATACATCTTTTTATTGAAACACATGCTTTACAAATCAATATGTATAAAAATAGGCATGCAATTTCATATGAAGCTAAGCATTTGTATTTTGTATTTGAAGGTAAGGGAAAATCATTTTATAAATGTATATTTCATGAAATATACATCTCAAGATTGTGTACATTTATTTAAGTACCTAAACAGATGGACTATAGTTTGTTATAATTATTATTACAAAGATTAAACACGAAGAAAAATTCCTTCAACCAGACAGGATCAATTTCTCTAAATGTTAATTGTAATTTATTGGTTTCACACAGTGACTTTTATGAGCGATGTAAATGCGCGATTGCAATGCTACTCTTGCAATTTTCAGGTGATTGCATCTATACACATGTGTTATTGCATTGATGCAATTGTTTATAAACCACAAGTGTAGCGATGTAATCACGCGTTTGCATCTGCTACTCAAAGTCGTGCGCATGTGTAATCGCTCGTACTTGGTACCTTCGACCCTGTAGGTTAGCATGACAAGGCGCGACTGGTGTGAGAGCGACATAAAGTGCGAGATACTGCTATTTTCGCATAGAGATCCTGCGCTTTATGTCGCTCTCGCACTACTCGCGTCCTGTCGTGCTAGCCCTACTTGTTTAGCCCAAGTGCAGGTTAAGTATTGTCAGGTCGAAGGACTTTTTTTGTATTAATAATTATTACAAACTTTTGTATATTAAAAAATAATAAAAAAGTATTTTTGGCAGGTATTTATGTCAGATTCAAAGGCGAAGCCAACACGGCTTGGACAGAGACGAAAGAGGAACAGACAAGCACGCAGACTGATCAGGCACAATATGAGACCAGAGACACTATGCACACTGGACATGAGGAATACTTTAACATCATGTATTACATGCTTGGAAGTGCTGAAGGTACGTAATAAATGAATTAAAATGTATTATTATTAGGGTTGGTTCATAGAGGGCCTATGCAGCCAGTCATCACTGCCACCGATTAACCGATCTATTGTAATCACCACTACTTTCGGAAAATCTCACACTCTTCAGCAAGGTGGAAAGTACACGAAGACACAAATTGAAACTGGTTGCCTTTAAGACTACCCTCTTTCATGATAATATTTGTGCGATGGCGCCAAAACTATACAGTAAGCTGCCTAATTATATACTTGCGACTAACGACAATGCCAATTTTAAAAAGCAATTATTTAATTTATTGACTGGGAAAGCATATTATAAAGTCAGCGATTACTTAAATGACAAGAACATAGAATAATAGTTAACCACCACAAAATAATGACATAAATATAATTAAGAATTTAAATTAAAATTAAGTTTTGACATTTTGTAATTAAAATGTAGTAGTATACTGTTAAATGAATTTAATTATGTAAATTGTATGTCGTAAAATTGGCAATACGTACTGACACAACAATGTTAAATAAGACCTTATAGACGTGCGTACACAATAAATGATTTGATTTGATTTCACTACTACAAAACCAAAGTGCCCTGTGGTTCAGACTGGACGTTATTTGATTTTGATGCCTGATAATTTCCCATACCCTAGGTAGCGAAATTGAGATTCCAGCTGGGAAGCAAGTGTATAACTTCACATGCACATTACCTCCCGTGCTACCATCCTCGTTTGAGAGCCAGTATGGCTATGTGCGGTATACCCTAAAGGTATGTTATTGTCATAATTTGCCCACACACTTTTATGTAAATGATATTATTCCTATATATTGGAAATGTAATGATTATAGTTTATATTGTAATGTGTAACATTGTAGTAAGATTGACTGCGCCTCACCTACTGAAAACCTTGTAATTGATGATGATGATGATGAATGATGAGATTTTTCATTAGAACAGTAGTCCTAGTGAAAAAGTAGTAACTTTAATTGAACTTTTTGTTTAGTACGAGTTTGGGCCAGTGTAAAGGCCTTTTCTTTCCTAAACATTAAGACAAAAAAACAACATGAGTTGTTTGGATGAGGAAAATATGTATTCTGTAATTCTTTTTGACAAAGAATATAAAATATGGAATCAAATTACGTTCATAGAAGTAGGTTTTTCAACTGTTGTATTATTTTTGAAACAGTCAAGATAAAGCTGTGGAGTAATAAATGATATGGAACCCCATTGTGACAACAAGAATGCTATGATGGACACCTCTACAACTTTTTGACCTTTGTACTTTGTACAGGTAACCCTGGACAGGCCGTGGCAGTTCGACCATCACACAAAGTTAGCCTTTACTGTTATTAACCCCTTGGACCTGAATCTCAACAACTCATATAAAGAACCAATCCATTTGCAAATGGAGAAAACATTCTGCTGCTTGTGGTGCGCATCAAGCCCACTCACTGTGGATGTGAGAGCGCCGGTGTCTGGTTACTGCCCAGGACAAGTCATTCCTATCAATGTTGACATTGAAAACAAGAGTAATGTGCAAGTACACCTTGTCCAAGTTGCTCTTAGAAGGGTAGGTACTAGAAAATACAACAATTACTTTTTGCATGCCAATAATGCTGTTAACAACACACTCACTACAACTTCGCAAGTTTAGAGCTCAAGAAACTGTTCTGTTCCTCTAGTTTTTTGAGCATGAACTTTAGTGCGCTATTAGCTGTGGTGCCTACGTGATACTACGTTCTGTAGTACCATGTAGGCACCACGACAAAACAGTAATTTTTACTACATTCAAGCTTATGATAAACCTCGGTTAAAGTTAGTATTTCATATTCCTATCGCCCTCTAGCAGACGCGATTAAAAAGCACACTTATAGTTTTATTTTTCCCAATGATCGGAAATTTGGATGCAAATGGAGCGATAATATTATTAATGATGTCGGGAAGCAATTACCCGTTTATTTTGCTAGTGCCACAAGCACTTTGGAAGCGTCATAACAGGCTCTCGGCGTCTACTAAAGGGACTTTTCCACCAGCGAGGCGAGACGAGAATTGAAATCTCGCCGGTCTAGTTCCACTAAAAACTGTCCTTCATAGTTCGCGCTGTGGTTGTGAATGTGACGTTTCAATACTATTCAGTTCGTGTACACGCGGCTGAAGTAACAAGTCCCGTGAATTATTATTATTAAATATGTTAACGGAAGAATAATTTGATGAAGCCATGTTTTTTTAAATGAACGTACGTACCCCACAATCTCGCAATTGATGTTAATAGAAAAATCGTGTTTCCGTTGGAGAGTATAATACTCTATATAGGCAGCAATACCTGCCGATTAATATTATATCAACATATATTTCAAATCAGACGTCTGTCGACGACCGTCAATCCAAACCATTTCTACCCTTCAGTATGCGCTAGGAGAGAATTGAATTTTTACCATACAAATTTCAATCCTCGTCTCGCCGGTGGAAAAGCACCTTTAGACCCTGCGCCCTTTTACGCCGCATACCCTGCATTATAGATAAAGCCGGCACTGGTCTGAAAAGTATATTTCTGATTTGAAATCTATTTTATTTATTTTTATTTTATTTTATTTTACATTTGTAGGGAAACTAACAGCTAGGTACAAGTACATACAAAAAAATAAATACAGACGGCCAATTACAAGCTTCCACAGATAATAAATAAGCTTTATGTTTGGTCTGTGCACAATTAATGAGGAAGGAATTTAGAAAACAATATGATTAAAAAGAGAAATTCGTCCAAAGAAAAAGAAAAGAATTACACTCTAACAAGAAGAATTAAAAAACTTATTACTAAGAAGTCGTTTAAGTTGGTCAGGTGTGGTACAAAATAAGTCAATATCGAGCTGTTTTGCTATTTTGTTATAGTATTCACTCGCCCTAATAAAGTATGAATTTCGTCTATAATTTACTTTCGTCAAAGGAACATGAAGTATGCTGGGATGTCGAAAAGAAGCCACTATTATATTAAACTATTATATTATATTAAAGCTTCTTTCTTTTATCTTTTAAAAACACTTCGTTCATATCGGATATGCTGGGCGTGTTTGACAATCTAATTGAGGCGAATATTTTTGCTGTGTTGCAATGGCAAGATGCACAATGGTGCATCTTTTATATGAGGAGATTTTCGTATTAATTTTACAAAATTTCGAACTTTGGCTACAATCTCTTCGTAAACCATACGATCAGCACGAACAGTGAGTGTTTTAATTTAAAAACAGCCTTCATTGCTTGCTGAATCCACGTCCTCATCGTTATCGTATTCAGAGTCGTCACCTGACGCATGTTGAAAAGATACTATTGCATGTTCGAGTTCCATGTTAGTTTTGTACTCCGTATAAATTCCTGCAAGCCGAATTCCGTGAACTAGCAAAGTTAGTAAGCCTTTGCCAAGTTCCTATTTTGACCATCATTCGCACCCCTCGTGGAAGAATGCCATAAGTGGAGTTATTTTAATTAAAAGTTTATTGCTCCATTAGATACAGAAAAATATAACCCACAGAGAGGATGTTGGTTATATTTTTCTGTATCTAATAAAGCAATAAACATTTTTGAAGTAACTCTACTTTTGCCATTCTTCCATGAGGAGTGCGATCTCATACCGTCGCCGTCGGTTTATTGGTCAACGATGTTGTCTTCTAAAGGCACACTGAATTTTGGCAAGTTGGTCTCGTATCATGTTAAATGCTATCAGAGCTGGCATTAATCCAGTGATCTTAACAAAGCCGATTTTTTTTAAATTGTAAGCGCTGAAACCTCTACTGTTCGAGTTTATTTTTATATAACGATTATTTCGTAACGGCGGCCATTCATCCAGTGACGGAGTCTATTTATACCCAGCTTTTTAGGTCAAGTATTTTGCTTTTCGTTTCTACTTTTTTCTACTCGAGTTAACATAATTTTTTCAATTTATTGTATTTGGTGACATAGTTTTGTAGTCATTTTTATTAAATAATTAAATAATTGTCGGTCGCAAATCATGGCTTTCCGATTTCTGAAATAAATACATCGGAAGGAACAAGTGTCAACAGTCACTGTTTGGGTTCCCTTCAAGTCTGCCATTACGACTTTTCACCTTTTTGTTCCTATTGTAGTCTCGTTTCTTTGAAAATTCCTAAAGTAATATTAATTATACCACATGATGACGCAAAGACAGAATTATTAACTTCAATATTATATATCGATTTATATTTGAGTTCAGAGTTCGGATAAGAAAGTAAATCAAAATGTCATTATAAAATGTTTCAATATCGAAATTACGATAGGCCTATTATATAATAAACGACAATAATAAACGAGTTACCTATCTATCTATCTGTGTATCTATTATTAGGCTTTATAATTCTGGAACTGCAATATGGAAAAAATCTTCTCTGAATTCTCGACTTGCGAAATTTCGAAATCTAGGAAATGCATTTCGGGTCATCCCCTAAACTTTTCCAACACATAAAAACACGGATTGTTTAATGCTAATTATCACGGTTGAAAATTATCAAGATATTTATTTTCTTTGATAATTATCCAATATACTCAGAAAATTATCAATGTTGATGTATGAATCAGCATCTTATATACATCAACAGCCATACATTTTCGTTGTTTAGTTATTTTAATTTTCTGACGAAGAATGACCAACAGTGACAAAAGTATATAAACACTAAGAAAGATTTTGGGCACCATGATTTGGTTTGTGACTTTTTTGAGATTGACATTTAACGTTTGGATATTACTTTGATAGCATTTTGTTGTTCCAATTAATTTTACAAATATCAAGATAATTATCGTGATAATTTATGATCACAATTCAATCACTATCAATGGTAATTATCAGTTCTCTGGATAAGACGTAATCCCCGAATACCTAGCAAGACATTTAACCTGCGAACGTATAAGAATAACACTTTCTTTTATAATCCCCTGATACGATTGTGTCGGCTTTACAACAAGATGTCTAGTTTTGAAAAACTCCGGTTTGGATATTTTTGAATCAAGATCCATAATATTTAAAGGAGTAGTACTCGCTTAACATTTACATAGGTATTCACTCAAACCCATTTCGTGTTTGTATTTAGTAAATTAGTGGGTATATTAATTAGGTAAGGAATTTATTGTAGAGTGTCAATCTATTCGATTGTTATCTGTTTTATTGTTCGTATAATAAATAAGGAAGTTCGAACCTTGCTAAAAGTCACAATTTTCACTTACTGAGTTTCGAATTTACTCTATACTTAACTCCATTGAACTATGGCGCGATTATCTGGCATATTTATTTATTTAAAGGTGGTGACATTTAGAGCGACGACGCCAACTTCCGCCACGAAAATTTTGAGGGAAGTGGTTGTGGAGATCCAGGAGGGCCCAGCACCTGCTGGGTCTACCAAACACTGGGACATGCGTCTTGAGGTCCCTTCCATACCTCCCTCCAATCTCGTTAATTGTGGCATCATCGATTTGGACTATGATCTGAATGTGAGTGTATATAAAATATAATTACCTATGCAAGTCAAATGCATAATGAATTCTGTTTAGTAGCAGTCGAGCTCCTTGTGAAAGAGTTTATCCAGAGAAATACTGCTGCCTTACCTATTTCTGCCGCCAAGCATTAATGTGAGCATTGCTGCGTTCCGGTTTCGAAGGTACTGGTGAAATTACAGGCACACGGGACTTGTCAACTTACGTCACAGGGTGTCGTGCCACTGCGGCAGTGCTCGTAGATCAGATTTAAAGCTCTGAGTGGCACTGCAACTGTCATGGACAGGCGTGTCCCGTCACTTAGTATTATATTTAAAAAAACTAAAAAGGCGGTTTTGTAAATATTTTTCCCGCTTTTATAACAACAGTGGTAGTCTAGTAGGAGGTAACCTATCATAAACTCGATTTTTTTCCGAAATAACGTTTGTTCGAATTATCTTTACATCGAAAACCGAATTATAACGAAACCGTTGTTATTTCAGGGTATGTTGGATGTTTATTGCAAAGACACGATTAGGTTCGATTAGGTTAACTTCATTTTCCTCTCAAAATTACTTTCGAGGTTATGAAATGTCATTTCGGACTACTGATAGGTAACCGTTTTCCAAGGGTTGTAAACTTTTAAACGTTAGTTAGAGGTATGGCACTAAATATACACAAATATACGTAACTTAAAAATTTAAGTCATAGGGTGCATGCCGCCATAGGGATTGGAGCTGCCGAACTCTTCATTGAGAAACAACCAGTCTCCTTTTCACTCATTTTCCAGAAATAACGTTTGGTCGAATTTTAATAGTCCTAAATTAATAATCCCCCCGAATAGGCGGGAGTTGCCATACTTTTTAAAAATATAATATCCAGTGACGGGACGAATAGGCGCGCGCCTGATGGTAAGCTACACGCTTGTTCTTATGAACAGTTGCAGTGCCATTTAGAGCTTAAATCGCAAAGGTCTGGGAGGCACTGCGCCCGTCACCCTGAGACACAATTGACAAGTCCCATGTGCTTGTAATTTCACCAGCAGCCTTACCATTCAAAACCGGAACACAATAATAGATTGGTGTCTTGATTATGGAGTACGATTATGAAATAGAAATTAAATGCTTAATAATTCTGAATCTGAGGTACTCTTGTTCAAACAACCATAAACACGTCTACTACATGGTGTTATTTTTTAAACACCGAACGAACACTTAAATTCTATAAAGAATGGGGCGTGAGACATCGAGTATATAACCAGAAATAGAGACGAAATGAGGGCCATCTATCCCTGGCAACTCATCCGGCAAATGGGCCTTATATGACTTTTAAATATCAACTCTCGTTTGCGCTGAAATCACAAATTAGAAAGCTGAAATAGTACAGCGCCAACCACTGATCTGTATGTACGTCATCCTTATATTCCAAAAATAGTCTGTATTTATTGTAATAAAGATAATAACTCTAATAGTGGGGGGCTGTTCCATTCGGTGGTGTGAGAAAGCAGCAAAACAAACAGAATCACACATTTTTTTTCAATTTTCGTCCATTATGGCAAAGCTCAAAATTAACCGGTCGATTTAAAGTGAAACAATTCACAAGTCACAAGTAATGATTATGCAGAATAGTTTTCAAACAAATTAATTGATATTTCGTCTCTATTTCTGGTTATATATTCGATGACGTGAGACGACTCGCGTTAAACAACGCAAGTGCACCATAAGATTAGTGAATGTGTGCGTCCGGACACTTAGCGAGACTGGCGTACAACATACAAGCCGCTCTGCTACGTTTGTGTGGAGTTACCACTTTTGTCTTATTTAACAAACTTTTATGGCCGAAAACCCGAAAACAGAACCTTCTTGTTGAAGTGAACCAAATTGCAGGTAGTGTGCAAAGTGTCGGGCTTACATCAAAACCTGACGGGTAAGAAGTACGTGACGATCGGCACTGTGCCGCTGATGGGGCAGCTGGCTGTGCCTACGGCACCCCCGCCTCGCCCCGTTCGCGACGACCCTGCTGTGCTGCCCGTTTCGCCTGGCCCACCGATGGATTCTTATGTGAGTATATTTTAGCAGCTATACCACTTCCCATAGGATTTGATAACACGAGCAGTATATGGAACTTATACCGTGCTCGGTTCGGTGTGTATCCTAGCTTCGGAGCCGTTACATGCCGACGTAATGTGCTTTTGTGTCTGAACATATTTTTCGATAACGGATGAGCTAATTTTTATTCATTTGTTGCAAATCATAGTTATTAGGGTGAGGCTACACGAGCGTTAGGCTAAGAACTCATGGAGCGGTTTTCAACCGCGCCCGCCGCGGTTGAAAACCGGTTCATGAGTTCTGTCTCTAAGAGTCGCGTTTTTTCAGTCTCATAGTTTCCGTTCGACTGAAATTCGGTTGGGGCGCTATACGAACGTATTTTATTCAGTTGCTTTTAAGCGTTTGTACGGGGTGTTTGTGTCATATAAGTAATGAATCTATTTAAAAAAAAGTGCATATATGGCATGGCATTTGAGATGTGGTGCTGCCGTCGCATGTTGCGTATGGGGTAGTCACTGAGGGTCATGAACGAAACCGTGCTGCAGCGCGTTCTTATGTCCCTGAAAATGATGCCATCTGTCAAAAGGCACAAAATAGAGTATTTTGGTTACGTGATTACGAACGATAGCACGCAGCTACAGCTGATAATGATGGGCAAAGTGCAGGGAAAGAGACGCGCTGTGCGAAAAAAAAAATTGTGGCTACGGTACGTCCGGGAGTGCACTGGCATTGCAAATACATGAAATTGACGGCCAATCTTCCAGGATTGACGAGGCACTCTAAGAAGAAGAAGTGCATATATAAAGCATTAGAAGATAATGTTAGAAAAAGAAGCTGTTTACATCCACTCAATATGAAAAGATTAAAGTGTGGCCAGTTACACATACTATATGAAAGTCTGTGTGAACATCCAGATTTGTAAAGTACTAACCACATGCCCACGAATGTTTCCTATATATTCCTTCACTCACGCCTCCCTCTACCAGTACAGACACATCACACAGTACGACCGAAGTTCGGCCTTAATTACGCGCGTGAGTCGACAAACAACAAACCGGACTTTGATATGAAATCGAATGCAGCGTAAATTACGCGACTCAAAAAACGTGACTCACACTCCAAATATTATGCTCGTCTGGCCTCATCTTTAGAGCAGGGTTTTAGTAGAAGGTTTTAATGGAAGGAATTAGTTTTTTGTTCGAAACCCACATGCATTTTTGTTCTTGTGATTATTTCCTCTATATAGGATGGATTACTTTCAAATAACTTCTCGCCACTTCGTATCATAAAAAAAAGACAACAACACTATATTCCCTCTACAATGAGTAACAAGAGTAACGGAATTCGCTCCGGGACACCGGGACGGGACTTACCCAGAACACCAAACTCAGAATCAATTGAAAAAAAAAATCCCAAATTGGTCCTACTAGGAATGGAACCCGAAGTGCATGTATATAGGTGTTTAAGGACTTAAGAATTTTTTTCGAACGCAGCACGGCGTGAGTGAACTGTTTATCGGCGGACGGCATCGATCGGCGTAATTAGACAATTTAATTAAGAAATATTGTCAAATAAATATGTTATTATTTCATTTTATTGTTTATTGTTCTGCTTTTTTATGTACATCAAATTCACAATTAATAAAAAAAAGTATTAATTGTATTTCATTGCTTGCGTATCTCTGCTTTTAATAATTATCACCTAAAGCAAGGTTTCTTATCCTGTGGTCGATTAATGGACGCCGGGGCTCCATGGTGAGCCTACCTAACACAATGCATTTATATAAAAATTGGTATACAATATGTTGTGAATAAATAGGTATTGTGCGCGTGACCTTTTTGAAATTTCGCGCCCTTTGACGACTATCCATTATTTGAGCCAGCGAAACGCGCGTAAGTGCCTTTAACATCAACGCCTTTGAGGTTCTGATTATGGTTCAGCATATGCAGCAGCAACCGTCACGCCGACTATTCATATTATATAAAATTTAATCACAAACAAGGGCTAAACCTCGTTCGTCGTCGTTTTTATTTTTTGGAAAGGGTCCGTGATCTCTGAAATTTTTAGAAAAAGTTTAAGAAACCTTGATCTAAAGTATTTTCTTCTATTAATTATCACTTAAAGAAAGTTATCTTGCGTTAATTATCGCCAGTGATCGGAATTGAGGAAGTTAACTTACCTAGTGTATGAACATTTTCTTAGTACGGATCTCCGTACCCATTACGTAATTACCAAAAAATCTCGAAATGCATGTGTACAATACGCATTGGCGTATAAATTTTCTTTTTTACTGTTCATTTTCTAAACATTCCAAAATATGGCGTGTCACATGTTTATTTTTCAAATATCTGAAGTATTTAAATACGTAAGTACCTATTGAACATCGAGTATATAACCATAAATAGAGACGAAATGTCGTTTAATTTGTTTGAAAACTATTCTGCCAAATCTTTACTGTGACAATTGCGCTTCGATTGGCCAGCCCGAATTCGAAACAATTGACGGGTGTCGTCAATTGTTTCACTTGAAACCGACCAGTTTAATTTGAGCTTTGCTATAATGGACGAAAATTGCAAAAGTGCATATTTAATTACCGATGAAATGTGATTCCGTTTGTTTTGTAATTAGATGTTTTGTTGTTTTTCACACCACCAATGGAACCGCCCCCATTGTTAGAGATAATACTATCTTTATTACAATAAATACAGAATATTTTTGGAATATTCGGAGACGTACACACAGGTCAGTTGTTGGTGCTGTACTATTTCAGTTTTTTAATTTGTGATATCTGCAAACGAGAGTTGATATGTAAGAGTGATATAAGGTCCATTTGGCTGATGTGTTGCCAGTGATTGATAGCCCTTATTTCGTCTCTATTTCTGGTTATATACTCGATGCTATTGAAACACAACTACAACATTTAATATTATTTTTTTCAGCAAAAGTAATATTAATTTTTCGCCAATGTACTCAAATTTCAGTAAATAATACACATATTAAAATATAATCAGTTCCGAGTAGTCCCAGGATTTGTAGAAAGGAATGTCCACAGTATTCTTTAGTTTAGCCAAGTTAAGGCCCACAATTTCGACCAATGGTTATCATTTAAATTCTCTTCTTGTATGATCACTTGCAAATGGCCAAGGAAAACATTGTAGATAACGTTCCATGTCGGAGTAAGTTCACAAAACACTTCGACATTTCGAATTCGTAGCGTGCGACTGAATCCATGCCGGTTATATTACCCCCGTGTCAATTTCAGATTTAAAACGCTTATCTACAATGTGTCTTCTGTGACAGGGCGGTGATACTTCAGGCTGGACCGTACCTGGCGCGCAACCCCCTTATCAATCGTTATATCCTACACTCAGTGAGTATGAATCTGTTTTTTATTTATTTTACGATTAACCAACCGGTGTTTAGACTGACGGTCCACCTGGTAAGTGGCTACCGCCTATAGACAATTTGGTAGGTATCATACGTTATGGGTGTAACTCAATTTTAACGATGCTGTGTTACTTACTTTACAACAAAGAACATACCGCCTTTTCTGCCGCCAAGCATTAATGTGAGCATTACTGCGTTCCAGTTTTGAAAGGTAAGAGCGGTGCTGGTGAAATTACAGGCACTTGGGACTTGTCAACTTATGTCTAAAGGTGACGGGCACAGCCCCAAAACTACTATTTTTTTTTTCCTTCCTACCCAGTGGCGTAGCGTCGATGTCTGTACCTCGGGGCCAACTTTAAATTTGCTGCCCCCTTTATTTTCACAATTACAAAAGCAGTTCGTTCCGATAGGCTCGACTCGATTGTGTTTTATGTACTTGCCGACAACATTCAACAACACATAAGTGGCGACATGTTTGTGCTGTTCAGGATATAATTTTCTCAAATAGTGGAATTTATTTTCTTATTTTAGGTTAAAAAATAATCGGCCGCGATCGCCGCCGCCACTATTGTTGTGTCCCCTCTGCACCCCCCACGCTACGCCACTGCTCCTACCCAATCTTTTGGTTATACAGGAAGGGCGCTATTACCTGTGCAAGAAGGCCTACACATTGATAAGGTCCCTTATCTGTCAGGTGCTGACCCCACATCGGCCCGTCGACATAGACTTCATCCGGTTCTCAAAAGACTAGTGCTTTGGGTGAGCGCACCCGGGTGCACGTATAGCACCCTCCCTATTGTGCAGATAGATATTGTTGGTTCGCTCGAGGTGAGCGAGCCAACAATAGCATTGTGCATGGCACAAATAGCAGTTGCCACCGCTAAGGTCGACAGGCACATGGAATTGGGGCAGGTATTTGCGATCTACAGTTCTGGCACTGCAACTGTTATGGGTACACAAGTCGCTTACCATCAGGCGTACGACTTAATCGTGCCGTTACCTGATATCATAAAAAAAGAAATTGCTGAATCACACTACGTAAATTACTTTTTTATTGACAAAATTTTTAATATTTTCTTATGATATCAAGTGACAAGGCGAACTAGTGGTAAGCCACACGCCTATCCATAGCAGCGTCACTCAGAACTTTTAATCGTAAAGAACAGTGCCTCTACCATGATATTACACCGACAGATATCGCTAGCGACCGCGTAAAATGTCTATATACAAAATATTGTTTCTTCTTGTGGCCGCTAGAGACGCTGTATAGTTTACCATACAAAATTGTGAAGTAATTTACGCGGTCGCTAGCGACAACTGTTACAGCAAACTCGTGGTAGAGGCACTGCCATTGCGCCCGTTACCCTGAGACACAAGTTGACAAGTTCCATGCGCCTGTAATTACACCAGCACCCTTACCCTTGAATACCGAAACACAGTAATGCTCACGTTACTGCTTTACGGCAGAAATAGGTAATGTGGCAGTACTTCCCTGGACGAACTTTTACCAGCAGCTTTTACTTTAGTAAAGTAAAAGCTGCTGGTAAAAGTTTTGTATATGTGAACGTATCTCATATTATACGCGGAATGATTTAATTGAAATTTCACCAAATTGTAATACTAAGCAGCAGACTTAGGCATTCGAATATTACGAATGTGTAAATTCTTTTATCTCCTGTTCAAGTGGTTACTTGTTGGTTAGCTTTTCTTACACTTTAATTCGGGCACAACAGGCATTGTAATATGATGTGCTAAGAACCAGAGTCGGTATTTATACAGAAAAAATCTTATTTGTCTCCCATTTTTAACTGCCTCGGTGGCCGAACGGTTACCATGCCGGACTGCCATGCAGAGGTCCCAGGTTCGACTCCCGGGTCGGGAGAAATATTTGTATGGCCTACATTTATTTGTCTCGTGAGTTTGGGTGTAATTTGTGGTTGTCTACGTGTGTGTCCATGGCACCCGCGACACAGGGTTTCCCTGTTGAGTGTGTACGTTATTATATTATTATTGTTATAGTCATATTATAATTATATAATAAATTTGATTTTTGAGTTCGATTCCGATTTAAGAAATCGGAATCGAACTTCCGCAGTGCAAGCCATTAATCCACCGAGGTCGTCAAAATTTTGTAATGGCTAAGAAGTAAACTTTGAGAATCTTTATAATTAAAAAAAAGGGTTTAGTTTGTTTATATTACTAGAGCAAGATAACTATTGTAGCAACGACTTCTGACCTAGCCAAAGTGACCTCTCTATTTTATAATTTCAAACATCTCCGTTTCGTAAAGTTTATTTCATATAAAGTAAGTAGGAAGCAAAACATTTTGAAATCGTGATAGATTGTATCGATTTTCGTAATACACATTTTTTGTTATTAATATTTATATTAATACACTGCGTTACAAGGGGGATAAATATTTATAATTACGAACAAAGTGACCAATTATAAAAGCCCCTGGCCCAAACGTTTGTGATTGTAGTTCCGCCCGTATGGCATACAAAATAAATGTTTTTCATCATCAAACTTGCGGGAAAGTTAAAAAAACAGAAAACTAGTCTTAATTTTATTCACATTAATACTTACTAAATTTGATGTAGCACTTGCACGTAAATAGTATGATTGCATGCAGACTAACTTGACTATAATGCCCCAAATAAAACTCTGGGGTCTTTTTTCTTCTCATTATATAGCGTAACGAGAAGAAAAAAGGCCTGAGGGTTTTAATTTGGGATATTGTAGTCAAATCAGCCTGCATGCAATCATAGTAATTACGTGCAAGTGTGACGAAAAATATTGAATGTTTCACGGGCGTTACGGGAATTAAGAACCTCGACTCCGAAAGCCCCCAATCTTCGACTTCGGGTTTCTAATAGGCTCGTTCGTAATTACTTATTTATTGCCCTTAATACACAATGTAATATTATAACGCCATTGTTGTACTAAACTATTTATGGATAAATGAATTACAGCTCAACCAGTATACAAGGTGTCTCCGTACACGGCACGCACGATTCAAGACCGCGAGGACAGGAACCACACGCAGGTGGTGGGGCCGACGAGCTTCGCGCCCTGCTATCCTACCTACGCTGCGGTCCAGCCACCTCCGTTGCCACAGTAGACGGATGGTATAGTCAACAGCACATAAAGCGCTTTTGTTCGAATGTCACCTCCAGCGCAACGGAACAAGATCCGTCAATGTGTAGCTTGATGTGCTGCCGTCTGTACATTGAAAATAGGGTGAATCTGGGATGAAAACAAAAAACTTGTCAATCAAAGTTAAAAGAACTAAGATATAAAAATCTGGTATGTCACATAAGCGATTTAATATAATCTATTTAAATCCATTTTGTAGCAAAAGTAAACAAATCAGTTTCTGAAGCAATTACTCAATATATGGAATAAGTAACACTACACGTATATTTTGAAGATTTCGACTTGATTATCACTTTTTCCAACGATATTAAGTTGAATAACAATTTAAATTTATAAAATTTTAAATAATGTTAGTGGAAAAGTGAAGTTTTGAAATGAATTGTCGCATAATGCTGTACTAAAAAAAAATCATTCCGTTCATTCAGTTAAAGTTTTTTAATCGATTAGTAAACCAAATATTTCAATCACAATCGAGCAAGTATTTAAGTATAAGAATTTAAAGGAAATTTAAGACTTCGGAAATTTTAAGTTTACTTTTATAGGTTATGTAAGAGAAACCATACTAGTAATAAAGTAAGTATATATGAAAATATAATTACTCAGTATCGAATCATAATGTTTTTTGTTAGTAATCAGCAGCGAAATCGCAAAAACAACTGTTACCAACTGATTCAATTAAACAAATCGATTCATTCCATCAATTAATTGATTTGTAGTTCGCAGTACAACAGGCCATCACGACATCTACGGTCGGGTCAGCGACCTTTACTTTTTGGGTATAATGGATTGAAACGCATTATAGCAATAAACATTGCATAATATTTTATACATTAATCTCCTTACTTAAGACGTATTCCACCCTTTCTTAAGGGTTGAGATTCACCACATTTTGCGGTATATAAAGACAGACATTAAAGACAAAAATACCGCACAAAAATTGCTAATATAATAAAATTGTACTAAAAGTATTAGTATGCAGTGGCGAAGTATGAATTAATGCCGTTATATTATATTGACACGCAAATAAAAAACAGAAAATGAAATTATTTCTTAAGAAAAACACTTGCAAATAGATACTATATTCATGGTATTATAATAAGACAAGCATGGTAACTCCATAAAAACATAGCATCGCGGCTTGTATGATTGCACTCACAGATTAGTATAATAATGAAAGGCGTTTGGGACAACCTACGCTATGCATCGCGAGATTATGCGAATGTGTGCATCCGTATTTGACACAGAGTGGGCCGCGTACACATAAAAATCGCGCTGTTACGTTTGTAGGGAGTAGTGTTGGGTCGCGTCGCAAACAGTAGAATTTTGAAAATTCATATTTTTCCACATTTGGCAGTTGACATCTGTCAAAAGTTGAAGATACTATGTCCGTTGGATTGTGTAACCGATCATCTTCGATTGAGTGCGTTCCTGGTACACAATTTGTCACATACCATGTATCTTTCAACTCGGACAGTAGTAGAAATGTCCTCAGTGGGACAGAACCCAAAACCTACAAAATTTGAATTGAATGAAAACAACGGGAGCCATTTTGAAGATGTTTTTTTACTTATTTCTATTTTTTCCTATAAATATCATTTTAAATGTCGGTTTACTCTAATTTGCTTTTAGATATACAATTATATTTTACAATTCACGCTAAATAAATTTTTCAAAAATGTTTCCGGAAAATTTTCCACATTTGAAATTTCTGAAAATTACCCAACAGTAGTATGGAGTTCATACTCGTCTTACTTTATACTATGCTATAGTCATAGGTCGTATCAGTTTCTGATCTTAAAGCGTAGTTGCAAGTTATATTCTTTACCACGGATGTGAGACAATCTACAACTTATTACTAATTCTCTCATAATTCAATCTCAATCGAGTTGACTTACCATTAAAGTTGACGAAGATGGTACGTATTTTTTTTTTCATAGGAGTGAAAGACACCTTTGTTCAATAAGCAAGGGAACTCTGTGATAGGCAGCTTGTTTGATCGTATGAAATGCTCAGGCGTTTCATTTATTTTAACTGAACTGGAAATGTTGATGTAGACTAGTTATTATGTTATGCTCGGATTAAGAAATTTCTTAAGAGAAGCCACGGTATTCGACACTGCTTGTGTGCCTGTTAGTGTCAAACTTCTTGATAGTTTTGGTGCTTTACTGTGTCAGAGGGCTTCTTTTTAATAGCACAAAAAGAAAACATAGGTTTATCATTTAATTTGTATTTTTTTTTATATCTCGAAATCTTTGTAATCTCACTATTAGAAAATGTACGCCGTCCAATTTATTAAAACAAAAAAGTAAAAAATAAAGGTAAAAGTAAGTTAAGTCGTACTTATATTATGTACTATGTATTCCATATAATTAATTTAAGCTGAGTGGAATTTGATATTAATATATTGAAAAATGTTATTGTATGAAGCTTTTGTATGATTTTTATGAACTAATAAAGTGTTCGCAAGGTGTAAATGGTTTTGGGAGATACACACAAAACAACAAAACGTAATGACAATTTCTTTATTGATTTTCCTTCACAAAACAAAGTGTAAAATGATATAACGAAAAATTTACAAAAACAATGACAGTAAAACTGGACAATTTAAATATAAAAGGTGAAAACTAAATACAGGCATAATTTCATTATCCATAGGTAATACATAAAAATAAGGACCCTTGTCGTGTTCACGAAATACATGAAAGTTAGTTGATTTTAGATATTTGAGATGGTTGATGGTTACTCGGAAGGTATAATTGTTAGAGTACATTTCAGTGCATCGATGATCAACAGTTCATTACTGAGAAGGAAAAACAATCAAGTTGCCGCGATATTGAGCTCTTCTCAGACTTTTTTCACAGAGGACTTTTTGTTGAGGCTACAAGATTTCCTATTATCGTTGTTAGAGTGTACGTTACGCAGAAACATGTTAACCGGCAGTTACTTTTATATCTGTCGACGAGGTTTCGTATAGATCTTCTGTGAAAAATATCCGGGAGGATATATCTGACACTGTTCTACCGTCGAAAGTATCGACAGCGAAGAGAAACCGCGAACCTCCCTACGATGAGCGTGAACCGTAACGCATCGTCTAACGAACGAAATACTACTAACTGGCGTACTGTATAATTTGATTTAAAACGAATGAAAAGAAAGGTGTAGAAGACGGCCCCGTCGGCGGCACTTCGCGTGCCGCCCGGCGATTCGACGATACGACGTGGGTATCGGGACGTCGGTTACGTGGAACGATAGATCATCGAACGAGCAAATTTTGAGGAGCGCCTCGGCCGCGTCGCGCGGGTCGGCAATGTCGAGTATCCCTGTGGAGCCCCCCGGGCCCGGGTCGTGCGAGTCGTCCGCTGTGCCGCGCAGCTCAGTAGTGCGCGTGGCGCGCGCGGAAGCCGCCCTGGTACGTGGAGTCCTGCGACAGCAGCCCGTCGGGCTGCGACGGGCAGTCGGGCGCCGCCGACTCCTGGCTGAAGTCGGGCTGAGACGCGCCCTGCGACAGCGACAGCGGCGGCTGCTGCGACAGCGGCTCCTGCGACAGGCGCGGCGGGCGGCGGCGCGCCAGGCCGGGCCTGGCGGCGCGGAAGGCCTGCGGCGGCACGGCGGCGTGCAGCAGCGCCGCGCGCTCGGGGCCCACGTAGGCCAGCGGGTCCCGCGGCGGCCGCGCGCGCGAGTACACCGAGCCCGGCACCAGCGCCTCGCGCGCGTCGAACATCGACGTCGACATGAAGTGCGAGCCGGGGTTCTGCGCGTTCACCAGCTTCTTGGGCTTCGCGAACTGGATGGCCGACTCCTTCAGGTTGGACAGCGGACCCTCGGTCAGCACGCGCCGCTCCTTGTAGAACGCCAGCAGGTGGTTCCACAGCGGCTGTTTGCTCAGCACCTTCGGGTTGCCCACCACGATCAGGCCGTACTTGGCGCGGGTCAGCGCCACGTTGAGCCGCCGCGGGTCGCTCAGGAAGCCGATGCCCTGGTGTTCGTTGGAGCGCACGCACGACATGATGATGATGTCCTTCTCGCGGCCCTGGAACGCGTCCACGCTGGCCACCTCGATCTCCTGGTAGAGCTTAGCGTGCAGGCTGCCCTGGTACTGCATGTGCTGCACCAGATACGAGCGCTGGCCCTCGTAGGGCGTGATGATGCCGATCTGCTCGGGCCGCACGCCCGCCTTGAGGAAGCGCGTGGTCAGCTTTTCCACGTTCGCAGCCTCGGTGCGGTTCAGGTAGGAGGTGCCCGAGCCGGCGATCTCCTCCTGGCCCTGCGTCACGTAGAAGAACATGGGCCGGTCGGGGCGCGGCCAGGGGAAGTCGATCTTGTGCAGGCGGCGTTCCTCGGCGCTGACGCCGTTCTGCAGCGAGCCCTCGTAGAAGAAGTCGGAGGGGAAGCGCGACAGCTCGGGGTGCATGCGGTACTGCACCTCGAGGCGGAAGGGGCGGATGCCGAGCACCACGAGGCGCTCGAAGAGGCTCTGGCTGAGCCCCGCCTTGGCGGCCTTCTTGCACATGACCACGGGCCCCAGCTGGCAGTGGTCGCCCACGAGGATGAGCTGGCGCGCGCCCAGCACCACGGGCACCATGCACTCGGGCTCGGTGGACTGCATGCCCTCGTCGATGAGGATGGACTGGAAGCGCATGCGCGCCACGCGCGGGTCGCCGGCGCCCACGCAGGTGGCGCACACCACGTCGGCGGCGTCCAGCAGGCGGCGCTCGGCGGCGCGGCGCAGCGCGCGGTAGCGGCGCTCGTCGGCCGCCGACAGCTCGCCCGCCTCCTCCTTGAGGCGCGTGAGCTTGCGCAGCTCGCCGTCGCCCGAGCCCAGCGCGCGCGCCTGCTCGTGCAGCGCCAGGAACGACACCGACGACTCCATGGCCTCGCGCGACTTGGCGCACAGCCGCACCACCTTCAGCCCCGTGCGGTGGATCTTCTCCGTCAGCTGGTCCACGGCGGTGTTCGACGGCGCGCACACCAGCACCGGCCCGCCGTTCTGCCGCACCAGCTGGTACACGATGGTGGCCGACGTCACGGTCTTGCCCGTGCCCGGCGGGCCCTGGATCAGCGACAGCGGCCGCTGCAGCGCGTGCTTCACGGCGTACACTTGGGAGCGGTTCAGGTCGGGCAGCTGCGGCGCGCTGAAGTGCTTCGGCAGGTGGACGCGGAACACCACCTCCTCGACCTCGTGGCCCAGCAGTCGCCGGTAGATGTACCCGGACACGGACGACTCGTCCACCGCGAATTTGCGCAGCGCCAGCTGCATCCGATCGAAGGAGGTGCTCTTCCAGATGAAGTCGACGACGAAATTCGACGTGGCGTCGAGCGGGGCGCCGGCGCCCGACTTCAGCTCCAGCCCCACGTCGTCACCGTAGTTGTCCGGCACCTTGATAACGTGCCCCACGCCCGACCACGCCTTGTGCATCTCGCCCACGTACCTGTAACCACATTCGGCTCTTACTGCACTGTTTACGTGATACTAAAATCAACGAAAGAATGCTACTGTAAAGTATCAATTTGGCGAGCATATAGGATATGAATAATTAAGACATTTAACAATGTAAGAGATACACAGCCTCTTCTAGCTTGTATTCTTACGAATAAAGTCTTCACATATTTAACTCATCTAGGTGTCAATTCTATGGCGAAGTATTAGTACAAATAATAGGAAATTAACCTTAACCGCAGCTCATCTCCATGCATTAGTTTCATATCGCTGTCAGTCTTAGCGAGCGTGAAGTACGCGATGGTCTTCTTGTTGAGACCCACGTCCCACCGCACCTCAATGCCTTCTTGCGTCTGCGACTCCTTCAGTCGCTTGTCGTAATCCGCTTCCAGTTTCACCAATGGCCCGAATATATTTTGGTATTGGTAGCCATCTTCGTATCTATAACCAGACAGTAATAATCTATGTAAGATTCTCACTTATATATAGACAGAAATCGTACCAGCTGGCATCTTAACAAATTTCATTTGCTTCTTCTGTTCTAAAGTGTACAACAATGCAATGATAAATTAATGTCATTTGGGTTATTTTACAATCCCTGGCAATTCTGGTAATGAAAACTGTTATTTCTTTAATTGCATTAAATGAAATTAATGGACTGTTTTTATTAATTTATCAATAAATTTTTTTGCAACTTTATTGTCAACCCTATTCTGCTGGTCACCAGGCTGCTAATTAGCAGGCGGAAGATGTCCACTGCTGAATATAGGTTCAAATTGATCAACATTATTTAAAATACCTTAGCAGAACCTGATGAGGTTCTTCATCCACTCCAGGTTTCTCCAAATCTTGGAAGGTAGCATCTACGTTATCGCGCCACAACTCCTCAAGGCGTCCTATTTGCTGGGGAGTTACCTAACGCAAAACATTTGTTAGGAAAATTTTCAAGTGCATACATATTCCAATTGATAACACGTTTTTTATGGTCAATAAAACATAATGAACTTGCAGTTAAAATTCTGTTACTTGTTGCACAGTAGTATGCCTTATAACAAAATAATTACAAAGCTACTTAATTCAATTGTGCTGTAATGCATTTGGATGCCTCGTGGATTGAGAGAATGACATCTAGGCATCTAGGATTTGGGATTTAGTAACACAGCTGCAGACTACTTACGAAACAATCCAGCAATAAGTGATCGTGATTATAACTAACCTGTCGAGCGCGCATCTGCTCAGCTTCAGATGGAACTTTCACAAGCCAAGACAAGAAAGCACGGTCAGCTGTAAAACAATACAATATGTATAATATAATTTCAACATACTTCTAAGTCCAAACTCATGGTACCACAATTTCGTTTAACTAAGGTAAATGATTCTTTTATGGGGAACTGTATACGTTTTTACAATAAGATTCCAGAGCATATATTAAGATTACCATTTCCTAAGTTGCAAACTACATCAAAAGTATTTGAATTGAAAAGTCATATAACAAAATTGTGGGCTATGTGTTAGATGAAAGATGTATGGAAAGACAATGAGTTTAGATTCCACATAAATATGATTCAAGGTGTATTTCTATAGCATTTAAGTTTATTTGAAAAGAGCAATCCCTAGAGTTTCTAGCTCGTTTCTCACGGAAGTAGGCACAGTGAACAAGCAGTAGCTTAAAAAATTATATTTTCAAGTGTTTAATAATTTTTGCTATGAAATAAATTATTATTTGACTTTAACTACAATACAGTATATACAACCTACCCAGTATTTTATTGTCTGCAGTCAATAGATCTAATTTTAATTATATTTGAAATATTCCAAGCACATTACGTACTCCTCGAGTGATTGCACAATGGTACTTACAAATCAAAGGCTTCCACTGCTCTTGGTCCCAGTTCATGTCCTTAAGAGAGCTTTGTGCTGCACATGGTTGACTGAAAACAATAGCACGATAAACATAATGTAGATTAACTATTAACAAATTAAATACTTTTAATTACCATCATCTGAATTACATATCTCAAAATGTTCCTGTAGACTGCAAATGCAAGACTTTTACTAGGGAAAACTATTTTACTTCAGGTAATTTATTGTAATGCGCTGACATGGAATAGTAGGTAAAATTAAATTTTATTTATCTTACCGACACAGTAGCACCACAACAGAGTCAGCCTTCGCAGGGATAAATCCGAGCACAAACACATTTCTTGCGCCACATGAGTAACACTCTAACAAAGTCTCGCCGAGCGGCCCATCTCTGTGCAAGGCTGCTTCCTTATGCTTAGCTCTTACAAGGTGGTTTATGATGTGCGAACCAGAGGTGTTGCCACGTCCATTGCAGAACCTGGTTGATCAATATAAATATTTTTGTCTCATAGGTAATTACACTATTGATAATAAAACAATATTTCTACTGCAAGAACTGTTTGTAAGTAAAAAAAATCACAGTAATTTAAAACCAGAGTTAGTAATAACTCAATGAGTTGAGTATATATTTGCACTTAGTTACATTAATTATTTGCAAATCATGTTTCTGTTGTGTAATGCTCTGGTGCATTGTAAAAATGTTACTTAGTTATGTGCAATTTATATACATGTTGTTTCCTTATTGTGGGAAATAATTTATCAAAAAGCAAAAATGAGCATTTTTATTTTAGAGCAGATACAGTATACTGCTCTCAAATGAAAAATAAGGCACAAGCAGCAAATTTGAGTTCAAAGTTTTTTAGGTTTTTATAAGAATACATATTTATGTAAAATATGCATATTAGCCATATAAAAAAAATTTAATTTTTCTCTTAATACTAATTAAGAGGAAACTATAGTTATTTTTAAAGAAATTTTAAATATATTACTGCATATTAATTGTATAACTTCAACGTGACTTTAATATTTGACTTATAATAAAAGTTAAGGGCAGAGTTCTGTAAATTCAAGGGCACAGTATTGTCACTACTTTTGTGTGATTTTAGGACACAACAGTATTACAACAAAAAAATGTTAGGGAAACCGTTATGTCTCTAATGACTGTAAGTGTATGCATGATGTGTTAATCTAGTGTCTCTAAAGAGTTGTCAATGAAAAATGAGCTGTTTACATTTGCAAAAAGCATATGCAAAAGTGTCCAACATCAAAGCTTGCTTGTGGAATAGTTTTCTCATCCACTTGCACAAACCTGGCATAATAATATGCAGTGCACAATAAAGCAAGTGTGTGTGACGCTTAGGAGTCATTAGACAATTATCCTTACCACTTGTTGCATATATTACACATGACGACAGTGGCAGGATCATGGATGCCGCAGTACTTGCATGCATGTTCAGGCAACTCTTTACTACTATAGAGCGCCTCATCTTCCTCCTCGAATTGCAGCTCCGCGATGGCATTAGATACGTTCGAGATCTTCGCGCTTAGCTCTGACCGACCCAGCCCGTTCACCTGCAATCGACGTCATTACACATGTGCTGTCAATTTGTAGTTGCTCCACTTAACAACTATATTAATGTACATATAAATCACGTTAAAAGTACTCTTATCAGTACAGTTACGCAACATTTAAACGGCTGAATATCTACAAACTATCAAAAACGTTGTCAAAGTTATATCAAAATAGGTTATGTTACGAGAAAAAAAAAACAAAATATTACGAAATGTGGATGATGTTTACTCACCTGATTGGACGTTGCCAGTCCATGATCGTGCTGAGAAGCCTGTGTTTGGCTTTGAGAGGGAAGCGTGAAGTCTGTGAACTCAAATTCGGAGCCTTGAGTGTCTGCTCCGATAAGATCCGCTTCTTCGGTATCTAGAAACGTGAGCGTTTGCGAGCTCGGCCCGTAAGCATCGACACTCATATCTACTAGTAAAATTTACACTGAACAAAATGACGAAAATTTGTTAAAAACAAAAAACGGTGCACGATAGTAGAAATCTCCCATAACAGCCACGCAACAATTATATCAAACTATTCGCGATGAATGATGACCAAGAAAAATCGCCATGTTAGCAA